AGGATATTATGGCTATGGACAAGGATATGAGGCCTATGGATATGCTCCACCTCCTCAAGATCCAAATATGTATGCCTATGGAGCTTATCCTGGATATGGGAATTACCAACAACAGGTGAATCTTGTGTTCTTTCTAGAATAAACTACTTTATGACGATAATGATGCCATTACATGGCCTGTGTTTTTCCTTTTCAAAAATCTAGATTGGGTTTCTCTCAATTACTAGTTTTGTTAGACTTCTGATAAACAATAAAGATATTAAGGCTGCGTTTGTTTTCGGTGTAAATACGGACGGGTGTAAAACTACACTCCTGGTTTTTAATGTAGTTTTACATCGAAAATCGATGTAAACTCCACTCATGGTAGAGTTTTACACCGATAATTGATGTAAAGACAGCATCGATAAAATCATTGTAGGTATTTACATCCGTAACCATGCCTTTCATTTTGTAACGGTTCACTCATTTAAACTGATCAGTGTTGGAACTCCATCTATGTACTTTTACATTGACAAATATTTAAACTGAAAACAAATGCTGCGTAAAAAACTACATCCTAAGGTCTTTCTTTGCAAGAGTTAAAACAGAAGAACAGGTGATCACAAAAAGGAGGAACACGCAACAGGAATAAGTTTAATATACACTTTATTGAATGTAAAACATGTCCAAATTGATAATTGTACAAATTTGTATTACATCATAGATTCACCCATCATTTCTTTGTTTGGATGAGGTGGTTGAGTTGGAATCTGACATGCCTCACATAAATAATATTTCTTTATAATATCACATAAATAATATTTAAATAAATATTAATTATCATGATTTTTTATATTATTCTTAAAATTTATGTAACCATATTGCAACGTAAATTACACTTTACAACTGACAGGTGAAACTCACAGCCTTTGCTTATTTGTCACATGGATGCTAGTTTTTATTTGTTTCCTAGTTTCATTGTTCATTTTAAAAGATTTGAGTAAACAACTGATTATGAGATATGTAAATTGGGAAATATAAATTCTAGAGGTCCCCTATTGGACAGTTTAAATAATTGGACCTCTATTACATAGAGGCGTTTAAAAGCGAGGGTTCATAATTTGAGCTGATGCAGCAGCAGACCTTTTGGTTAATTATACACCCGCACTTTTGCTGACTAGCTGAGTCTGACCTGTATTTTGGAAGTCAAATTGTGGACATGCTTTGATTCACAATCACCCCCAAAGTGGGTTTGCCCATGAAATATTGGTTTTTCTGGTCAGGTGCAATCTGGTTAAAGACAAACCTTTGTAGCTCATAAGTTGCGAAGCGCGAGTAAAACCAAGTTCTTGTATCTTACTGGAACAGAACAGATCCGAAATGTTTTGTTTTACATTGTTAAGATCTAGTCTCAAGATAATCTGCTTGGTAGAGATTCTGTTTCTGACAATTATCCATATTTATCACTTATCAGAGTTTTTTAAAACTTTTCTTTTGCGCAGTGATTTGCTTGTTATTGTGAACTAGTATTCCGAATGCGGAGACGTATCATTTTGCGTATCTGGAGAGAATTATTTGTAACTCTACTTTGCTATTCTGCTTGTCTGGCTCTTGATGTTGTGTTATTGTTGGAAGCTGTTCGACAATTAGAAAGCTGCAGACATGTCGTGCGTGTTCTCTTTTTTTCTTTCTTCTTTCCCCCACTCTTACTTAAGACCCAAATATGAGCATGGATGATTGAAAATTAACTTATTTTTAACTAGTTCTTATATGCTTAGAAACGATTACACTGCGCTTCTTTTGTGATTTTCGTGTATTGTTTAATCGTCTTAGCTATTTTTTTTTGGGTTTACATGATAATTAGAAAGTTGGTCATGACTCTGCTTATGCTCCGTGATTCGTGAGTCAGGAAAGGTTGTACGAACAAATTCGTTCTACTCGGTGGAGCTAATTTAGAAATCAAGTGCCTTGTATTTTGAATATTTAGTGATTGAAATTTTGATTCAACATCCAGCAATGGTTCTTTAGGAGACTGAATCTCCTAACAAAAAAAATGCTCCAATTTAAACCATCATTTTCTCATGGTTGATAATTGTTGGAAGAGTATATGGGTGGGTGTCATGAATTGAATCCAGTTGACTTTAAACGTCTTTTTGCTTGCATTCTGTAGTAATACAGTTGTATTTGAATTTTGATCAAGGCAATCCAAATATGTTTAATTGTTAAGGTTCAAAGGGGCTGGGCTATGATTAATTGGTTTGGCGAATCTGAGAATGCAAGGTTCTAGTTTGAGAATTATCATGTCGTTATTCAGTCCAATTTCAACCCTTGATAGCTAGGACAGACCTTGTTAATGGCCCTTTAATAAAATAATATATGCATCGGTAGAGTTGGTTCACTGTAATTGTGGTTTGGAATTCGGAATGGAATTCCAGTTGTTTGATTGGGTAGAATTGGAATCCAGCCCATTCTCATTTCTGCTGGAATGGTCATGTAACCGTTATTGGTCACGTATCAATTTTTTTTGTCTATGTATCGTGTCTTTTGACTTGTTCTCAGGAGAGGATGGTGGAACTTCATGGTGGCGAACTGCCTGGGGGAGAATTATGCCTAGTTGCCCGAGCTATGCTGAGCTGCCCAAGCTCTGCTAAGCTCCTTGGTGGTGAGTTACTTTGGTGGATTCATCAATTGACCGGCTCCTAGGTGGCCTGTAATTTAGAGGATGTTGGAGTTCTCTGCCCGTAGCAACTCATAGTCCATTTTTATTGACTTTGCTTATGTCGGAGAGGCGACTGGGTCTTAAGCAGTAATGTGGCCCGTAGGCTTTGAGAGCGATTTGTAGTTTATTCTTCTTTGACTTTGCCCGTGTCGAAGAGGAGACTGGGTCTTTAAGTAGTAATGTAGCCCGTAGGCTTTAAGAGTGACTCGTAGTCCACTCTTTTTTGACTTTGCCCGTGCTGAAGTGGCGACTTGGTCTTTAAGGCTTTGCCTGTGAGGTGCCGGACTGACCAGGTGCTGAGCTGCCTATGAGGTACTGAGCTGACCAGGTGCCGAGCTGACCAGGTGTCGAGCTACCAATGAGGTGTTCGGCTGACCGGGTGCCGAGCTACCTGTGAGGTGCCGAGCTGACCAAGTGGGTGCCTAGAGTTATGATTGCGTTGCATCGGCTTCGTAATGCTGGTCACCCACTCCTACAAGAAGCTACTAGGAGCTCGACCTTCGGGGGCAGCAATACTAACTTTAGGTCGTCAGCTCACATGGGAGCCTTGGAAGGCTCGACCAGTAAGGGCGCCTATGTAGTCTGTTGGCCGCCAACTCCCGCAAAAGCTATAAAGAGCTCATCTTTGTAGGGGGGACCTTGCGAAGAGAACTGATGAGGCTTTATCCGAATTGAAAGTAAAGTTATTTAGTCTGTTAGCTCCATACATAGTCTTTGAGTTCATAAAAAATGTAAACTATAGAGCGAGAGCTTCGATTTTTAAAATGTGAGGACTTAGCTTTCCGGGAGAAGATGACTTAGCTTTTGTAAGATAAGAACTTAGTTTTTGTAGGATGTGAACTTAGTTTTTCGTAGCATGTTCCCACAGATGATGCCAATTGATGTAACCGTTTCTGGTCATATACCAATTTTTTGTGATGTATCAATTTTTTTTGGCTAATTACCTTGTCATTTGACCTGCTCCCAGGAGAGGATGGTGGAGCTCCCTGGTGGTGAATTGCCTAGGGGAGAGCTATGCCGAGCTCCCTGGTGGTGAGCTACCTTGGTGGACTCGTCATTTGACCTGCTCCTAGGTGGCCTGTAACTCAGAAGATGGTGGAGCTCCCTGGTGTAGCGCAACTCAACTGCCCTTTGCATGATGTGGTCTTCTCTCCTTTGTAGGCGGCGGGAGCTGAGGGACCTGCGAGAACTCCATCTTTTTCTCCTCTTTGTAGGCGACGGGAGCTGAGGGACTTGCGGTAACTCCATCTTTTCCTCCTCTTTGTAGGCGGCAAGAGCTGAGGGACCTGTGAAAACTGAAACAAGGGACCCATGGGTATTTACCCGACAGAGACTCTTCAACGCTTGAGTTAGCACTCTGATTGTAGAGAGCTTGAAGATGATATTAAAGAAATGAGAGAGCTTGGGAGCAGGGATTCCCTCCATTTTTCTTCTCCCCCTTGGATTTGGGGGTCGGAATCCTTATATAGCGGTGCTCAATCACATCAGGCGTAACCGCCACTTCCCTAGCCATTACTGCAAGGACTGAGGTGGCAGGTGTAGGCTGCTGCTGTAGGGTACGGACTCGTCAGGCATGCCATGCTTTTCAGAGATGATAGGCACGACGCCGCTTGGCAAGAGATGTGGGCGCTGCCACCAGATTTGTCCGGTACGGTTGTCAGGTAGGAGATCTTCTTGTGATATGCCGAACTGCTCTTCTATACCGAGCTACCCTACAAGTGGCAAGCTGCCTATGGTGAGCTATGTCGAGCTCCCTGAACTATGCCGAGCTGCTTGTGGCGAGCTATGCCGAGCTGCCTGTGGCGAGCTATGCCGAGCTGCTCGAGCTGCTTAGTTGTCAAGGGGCTGCACTTGATTTGCATGAGGTGCCATGTGTCACAATTTCACTAGAGGGCCAAATCCGCCCTCATCAAATGGTATTCCCCTATTTGAGGGAATGGCCCAATGGTCGGGCCGGGCTCGGACTCGAGCCTTGGAAAAATCTGTTAATACAGATTGAAAGCCCAATCCGAGCCGAGCCTGGCCCGACCCGACCCATGAACAGGTATAAAAGCCAGATTTTGGAAACAAGGAAGCAAAACATATCCTTCCCCTCTCAAAGGGAAAGCCCTCTCTTCAATAATGACCTCCTCCATTTGTACTATTTTTTGTCGAATCTATCACTAACATTCGCCGCAAGCTTCTCCCAACCAGTAACCCACTGGAAGCTAATTGCCATTAACCTTGCATTCTACCTCTCATGAGCTCCCCCAGACGAACCTTGTAATCATGTTATACCACTATCAGAATTTTTAGTTTTTCATTAACATCTCAGTCATGTCCAAGGTATACCTTCAAACGATGGAAGCTCGAAGGACGGACAAAGAACACGAAAAAATGAATGAAGGAAAAAGAAGAGAGAAAATACATATACCTGAAACTCGAATGACCTTCAACTCACAGTCCTCTTATGGAGTTTTAAGTTGTATAGTCTTTGATCTTAGTCCCAATTCTCAAATGTTTCTTCCCTCATCCATCATCATCCCATCTTTAATCAACGACTGGGAGTCTGCCAGTCTGGGATAACTTTTTGCCATTTGATTTAATTAATCGAAGTATTTATCTCATTGAGCTTGAATGCTTGAACGAGACGTGGCGCGAGAGTAGTCTGGAAAGTCGCTAGAAGACAACATGGGAGGATCGTGCCACACACACACAAGGCATACCGCATACCATTTCTCTGGACAACAAAAGCCCTAGATAAATATCGATAAAAATAAAAGTAAAATAAATATAAATAATCCCTGAAGTTTTTCGATTTCTATTTATTGATTTCATTCCAAATTTCCAATTTCCAACTTCTACACAACGCAGATTCTCACTCTACGGATGAACGGTAGCCACATCCATGGCGTCTCTTCTAGCCAACGGTGTTTCACACTTCTCCCCTCAGTCTCCTCCTGAAACAACGAAAGCCCTGAAAGGATTTTCTCCTAAATTCGATGCTTTGAAAACCTTAAAGCCCAGGAGAAGCACTGGTTCCAAGTTCTTGAAGGTCAGGGCGGATGTCGGTTACGAATCTAAAACCATCGCCCCCGATCAAAATCCATCACCGGGTAAGCCCTCCCGTCCCGTTTCCGATGATCCAATACAGAAATTCCTTAAAAGGGATTACAAATGGGGTTTCGTTTCCAATATCGAATCGTCTGCCATCCCAAAAGGTCTCTCTGAAGAGACAATTCGGTTGATTTCTGCGAGGAAAAATGAACCGGAGTGGATGCTTGAATATAGGTTGAGTGCATTCGAGAAGTTCCTTAAAATGGATGAGCCCAAGTGGTCGGACAATCGATACCCTCCTATCGATTTCCAGGACATCTGTTACTACTCGGAGCCGAAGAAGAAGCCATCGCTGAACAGCCTCGAGGAGGCTGATCCGGAGCTTCTCAGGTATTTCGATAAATTGGGTATCCCACTGAATGAACGGAATCGACTGGCTAACGTCGCCGTTGATGCAGTCCTCGACAGTGTCTCCATTGCCACGACCCACCGGGAGACGTTAGCGGCCGCTGGTGTGATCTTCTGTTCTATATCGGAGGCAATTAGGGAGTACCCGGATTTGGTTAGAAAGTATTTAGGCAAAGTTGTCCCTTCTGATGACAACTACTACGCTGCCTTGAATTCTGCGGTATTTAGCGATGGGTCATTCTGTTATATCCCCAAGAACACCAGGTGCCCCATGCCGGTCTCGACCTACTTCCGGATAAACGCATTGGAGACTGGGCAGTTTGAGAGGACGCTTATAGTTGCCGATGAGGGGAGCTTCGTAGAGTATTTGGAGGGCTGTACTGCGCCTTCTTATGATAGAAATCAACTTCATGCTGCTGTTGTCGAGCTATACTGCATGAACGATGCAGAGATAAAGTACTCCACAGTCCAAAACTGGTATGCAGGTGACGAGGAAGGGATTGGTGGGATTTATAATTTTGTTACGAAACGGGGCCTCTGTGCTGGAGCTCGCTCGAAGATATCATGGACCCAGGTGGAGACGGGGTCTGCCATTACTTGGAAGTACCCAAGTGTTATTTTGGAGGGAGATGATACAGTGGGGGAGTTCTACTCCGTAGCGTTGACAAATAATTACCAGCAAGCAGACACCGGGACCAAGATGATACACAAGGGGAAGAACACAAGAAGTAGGATCGTCTCAAAGGGTATATCAGCAGGTAATTCACAGAATTGTTATAGGGGGCTTGTTCAGGTGATGTCGAAGGCAGAGAATGCTCGAAACTCTTCACAGTGCGATTCCATGCTTATTGGAGATAATGCCGCCGCTAACACTTATCCTTACATCCAGGTATTTCCCTTTGATTGTGTGGCACATTTTGTTTTCTTCCTTTTGCCTCATATATGCTAATTGATTACTCTTGGTCTTAGTTTTTGTCACTAACAATTTCTCTACTTGTGTTGCATTTTTTATTGGATAATTAAGACTAGGTCATAATTGAAGCTGCTTATACCTGAAAAGATGCAAACATAGATTAGTAATAACAAATTTCCTTGTAAAAGGGAAGCAAATGGGGGAAGGCTGGATAAATACAAGAGAGTTTGTTGGGAAGGGTGCTCATGTGGTAGGATGAGATTTTTAATAGAGTTGGTGATGCCTGGTGTTTGAATTAACCACTTAATTGGGTATATCAAAGTTGCAATAAATTGTAGTGGGATAATATAATATGTAGTTTATTATGAGAAAGTTGCTGCAAGGAGTTTGGTTAATTTTATTACCATATGAGAAGAGTGGTTGAGATGATATTCATGCTTAGGTTTAGATCTCCGGGGCTGGATGGGTTTACAATGGATTGCTAGGACATCTTGAAAGATGGCTTGCAGGAAGTGTTTCATGATTTTTTTGGGAGAGATATTATAAACCCAAGTTTGAATTCAACTTTCATTGCTCTGGTGCCCAAGAAGGGTAATGCAGCCCATCCTCGTGATTTCAGGCCAATCAACTTGGTTACTAGCTTGTACAAAATAATTGCCAAGGTTCTATCTCTAATGATTAGAATAGTCCTCCCATCAATCATTTCACCCAAAAAAGGAGCCTCAATAGGAAAATCACTGATCAAATATTAATTGTTAATGTAAGTGTGGAGGAAATGAAGAGAGTAGGTAAGAAAGGATTAGTTTGCAAGCTGAACTTGGAAAATGTTTATGATATGGTGGATTGGTCTTTCTTGTTGGAAGTTTTTAGAAATTTTGGGTTTGAGGAAAGGTGGTGCAAGTGGATAATGGGTTGTATTATATCCTGTCATTACTCTTTGTTGGTGAACGGAACAGTGGTGGATTTTTTTTTTCTAGTTGTAAGAGGAATTAGGCAAAGAGATTCTATCTCTTCCTTTTTCTTTACTCTAATAGTTGAGGTCTTGGGGAAACTACTTTTTAAGGAGGATTCACAAGGATTAGTAAGGGATTGGAAAATAGGCTAGCATGAGGTACAATCACTCATTTGCAATTTGTTGATGATACAATATTGTTTTGTGAAGGTGGGGAATATAAAGTCAAGGTGGATTAGGAATCTCAAGCTGGCTTTACAACTTTCTGAACAAATCTCAAATCTCAAAGTGAATTTTGAGAAAAGTTGTATTGTGGGTATTAATGTGAAAGAGAGTGGGTTGTGAGCTATGTCAATTGCCATTGAAGTATTTGGGCTTGCTGCTGATGGAAAATCTAAGAAAGAGCAATTTTTGGGACTCTATTGTTGAAAGATTTGAAAAACCTTGCTTCTTGGAAGAAGAGCTATTTTTCTTTGGGAGGAAGGATCACTTGCTTGTTTACTACATGTTAATGTTCAAGGTGCCAGTGAGTGCTGGGAGAAAATTGGAAAAGCTGATGAGGGATTTTTTATGGGAACCAAGGAAGGAGAAAGGAGATCATAGAGTTAGCTGGAAGTGGCTTGTAGGAGTAAGGAATTTGGTGGTCTAGGGATGGGTAACTTATTGCAAAGGAATATGGCTCTATTTGGGTAAATGGTTGTGGAGGTTACTTGTGGATAAAGATAAACTTTGGGCAAAGTGGTGGTAAGCATTAAAGGGCTTGCGACTAATGGTTGGGATGCTGGTTTACATATTAGGGCTACTTGTGCCTCTCCTTGGAAGGCTATCCATGCTTTTCGGCCAGTGTTCATGCCTTTTTGACCTTTGCTTTGGAATTGAGTTAAAATTCTGGAAACATGTTTGGGTGTGAAACCTTTCTTTGAAAGATAGATTTCCGTCTTTGTTTTCCCTCTCGAGGTATAAAGATGGGCCTATTTCTACTTTCTTGGTTCCCTCAATTTCAAGAAATGTTTTTCACTGGGATTTGGGTTTGAGAAGGGGTGTAAGGGATTCATAGCTAAATGATGTTTTGGATTTGCTCCAAGTTCTTATAGAGTTTTTTTTTTTAATCCCTTTAGCCCTAATAGTCGTGTCTGGACCCTGTCCTCCGCTGGTGTTTTCTCTTGTGCTTCCTTCTTTAAGGCTCTAACTTAACCTTAATAGCTTGGGCTGTCCGGCCTGTCCCTTTCTTGTTAAGGAGGGTTTTGTTTGGATGCCTTCCTGTAAGGAGTAAATTATTGTGATCTAATCCAAACAAAGAGACCTAAGTGGTGCTTATCCCCACATTGGTGTGTTCTCTGTAAGGCTAATGGAGAAACTTGCTTTCACTTATTAATCTCCTGCCACAATGTTAAATTTGTTTGGAATGGTTTTTCTCTTTGTTTGGGTGTAGGTGGACTACCCCACCTAATGTGTAGAGCATGTTTACCTATTCTCTTTTTAGGTGGCCTAAGAAAAGAGGAAGAGTGTTGTGGAGATGTGTAAGGGCTGCAGTGAGCTGAACCATTTGGAAAGTTTGGAATACCAGAATTTTCTTAGATAAGGATTAAGGAAAGAAGCAAAGAGGGAATTATTGAGACCATCCTGATTAGAGTGGTTCACTGGGTGAAGACTTTGTAGCTTTTTGCTGATATCTCTTTTAGTTGATATTATGAATAAATGTGGCTAGTTCTGATGTTCACCAGGTTGAGGTAAGACCTTTTTGGACCCCACCAGATATTGATTATATCAAGCTAAATGTTGATGGGAGCAGTGCTGGTAATCAAGGTCTTACTGGTATTGGTGGTGTATTTAGGAATAAGGATGGCAGGGTTATTAGGCTATTCTCAGGTCCAATTGGTGTGGGAGATTCATTAAGAGCTGAGGTTCTGGCTGTTATAGAAGGTGTGCAAGAGGCAAAAGATATGAATGTGAGCAAACTGATTGTAGAAGGTGATTCCAAGCTGGTATGGATTGGCTGAAAAAGGGAGGAAGTAGCTTCCGGATATTCAATAGTGAGAGGAAGAAATTCTAGTGGTTGACACAAAATATGGAGGTGAAATTCAATTGGGTTAAAAGATCTGCTAAGCTTTTGCTGATGTACTAGAAAAGCAAGGGGTGGGAAGAAATCAAATGTTTTGGGCACAGTTGTAATCTGTAATGTACTTTTATTTTTGGTTAGGAAAGGTAAGAAATACCTATCCTCTATTCTGTAATTTCCTTCTAAATTAATGAAATACTGTTATTGATACTCTTTCCAACTGGTATACTTCTGTTGTTGGTAGGAAATTAATTAAATTTGACTAGGGTATTTGCAAAGGGAAGCTTGGAATGGTCATTGGAGTTAGAATATTAAAAGTTTTGTTCTTCATATGTCCCCATGGTTAGAATGTGGTTGAAGAAATTTGTTAAACTTTCGACTGAGCCATGCCTCTGTTTTGATAGGTTGGCTAAGGTTGAATTTGTTGAGAACTAGGGGATCCTCAGAATTATTTAATTTGACTACTGGTCAACCTCTACGTTATTACATTGGAGTTCTGACCATGCCTTGCAGAGCTGAGTTTTATGAAGAATGCTTCTTTTGAAGGTAAATGGGCTTATTAAAGATAATTATGGAATAATAAAAAAAGTTCACTTTGGAGGTGATGATGCGCAATCTGGCCACTCCTAGCTGGAAGTGACGAGGCTTCTAACTGGCGACGGGCAAGAGATACCCGCAAGAAGGACGAAGGGATCTGGGGTTGAATACCCGACGGGGACTCTCCGATTCTTAAGTTAGAACTTGGTAGCGGGCTGAGAGAGAATAAGTTTGCAAGAATATGAGAAAGCTAGAGAGTGGTGAATATGCGATACCTTGGTCCCTGGGGAGTTGATGAAAAGGAATGGTAGGATCCATCTGATGGACGCCATAGCGGAATGGGTGGGTGAATTTCAAAAATTTTCCTACCTTCTCTCAACCGGGAATCGTATTCCCTAAATTTAGAATACAATATTCAAGGATCCTACTTGAACCATAATCGAACCAGATCTGAACCAAAAGGGAAGGGAGGAATTATACCTGATCCGGAGAAGCAGTATCTCCCAAAGTTGGTGTTTACGCCCAAAGAGGACACCAAGATCCGCTCCTGCTGAAGATGACACAGCTGTATGTGGAACGGAACCAACAGAGTGCGTTTTACACACTAGATCCTTCGCAAGAATCCTCGGGAAACTCTGAGCATCAAATCTTTTTCAGTCTTCTGCAAAACTGATGTCAAGAACTGATTTCTTGATTACTTTCTTCTTCAAAGATCGAATCTTGTCAGAAAGAATGGCAGCGGCTGGAGGAGAACTCCTGGGACGAAGATGGCTGAATAACTTCTCTTCTTTTTGGAGTCTATATGAGATCCAATCTCAATTCGCAGGATGCTTTCTTGCTTGCACAAAACCCTAGGTTCGAAATCTGATATTAATCTCTCTTAGGGTTTCTCCTCTTTTCTTCTTGATTAAGAAACCTCCTAATTAGGAGTTATCCCAATCCAAATCAGTATTTGGATAGGAGATGATCTTAATCTTATCTGCAGATTAAGTTAGCTTACTCCTGATCTTATYAGGAGGTTACCAGATTCAAATCTGATTTGAATTTGGTCTATCCTAGATACGCCTCATAGATGGGTGATCATATCAGCCCAGCTCGAAATGGGCTTTTGGCCCATTTAAGTGTTCAATGCTTAACTAGTTTCCAATCTGCTGCCTAGTTGGGCTTCTTTGTATGGCGTGGGACACACCAGCCACATGGGTTCGGC